TAATCACTTAGAAAGCCCTGGAAAGGATGGGTAAGGTTAACATTTCAACTTACAGGAAGTGGCCCAAGGACGATCTTGCTGTGTGAGATACAATACCACAGGCATCAAAAGTAGGTGCCATTCAGTTATGGTTCTATTATCCTTCAAACACTTATAAGGAGCTGTTTTCCCTGATGGGGAGAATACACAGTTGTACTGATCAGAGTGCTTAACAAGTAAAGGCTCTTACCACTGAGACTGACAACAGAGTTCCATTCCCAGCACCTACAAGGTAGAAGGAGAGAACAACTCCCTCAATTGTCCTTTGACTCCCCCCCCACACACACTAACAAATAAAATGTACAAAATTTTAATGTACCTAAAAAATTGTTTGTACAGAGCTGAAAATTTAACTCAAATGAACCTTAAAGTAGTAAAAAGAAGTAAAGGCAAAAATAATATACCTTAAGTGGTTTTATTTTAGCCAAGAGAAAGAGATGATAAAGGTCAATAATATATCTGGACCAAGAAATTATAGTTTTGAAATACATAGTGGCTTTTGTAAATGACATTGAAATTGCCCCAGGCTAATTAAAGACAATGAAATCATAAATCTTTCAATATATAAATTTATCGTGTTACTTGGAGATTTGTTTTTATTCTCAGAAACCCTACAAAATATTTTAATTGACCTACAGGCATTTCCACTCAGAACATTGCATTTACGCTACATTCATTTAATTTTTTCATTTACAATTGAATTAAAATTTCTTGTCTACTTCTATTGAGTTTAATACTACCTCAAGTTGAACTCAGCAGGTATATATGACTAATTGACTCAAAAATCACTGCTGAGATAATTACTTAAACCAAAGGTACGAAATGCTATCACAGGAGCTTGGGAAGATAGCTCAGTCAATAAAGTACTTGACCTTTCAAGCAGAATAACCAGAATGTGAGCCCTAGAGCCCATAGCCTTCGTGTGTGTGTGTGTTTGTGTGTGTGTTGGGGATTATGTGTGTGTTCACACATACACATAGAAGGGATTAACTGGAGCTGAGCTACACAAGATGTAATACTCCTTCCAGAAGTCATAAATTGAAGAATAGAATCCCTGTGCCAGGTGTGGGATACCATGCCTTCAGTCGTTCATTAGGTGTTTTAGTTAGGATTTTGCTGCTGTGAAGAAACACCAAGACCGTAGCAACTCTTATGAAGGAAAACATTTAATTGGGGCTGGTTTTCAATTTCAGTAGTTCAGTCCATTTTCTTCATAGAAAGGAGCAATACAGCATGCAGGCAGACATAGTGCTAGAGATGGAGCTGAGAGTGTTACATCTTGATCAGGCAGCCTAAGGGGACCATGTCTTATGCTGGGCATAGCTTTAGCATATCAGACCTCAAAGCCCACCCCCAAGTGACATACTTCCTTCAACAAGGCCACACCTCCAAATAGTGTCACTCCCTATGGGCCAAGAATACATACACATGAGTTGATGGGGGCCATATCTATTAAAAAAACCACATTTTACTTCTAGGCTTCCATAACCTTTTACAAAAACTTAATGTAAAATGTATTTAGTCCAACTTCAAAAGTCCCTACAGTCTATCACAGTCTCAACAATGTTTAAAAGTTTAAGGTTCAAAGTCTTTCCTGAGATTCCTGAAATCCCCCAGGAAACCAAAATAAAAAACATATCAAATAATTCCAAAATATAGTAAAACTGGATATACATTACCATTATAAACACAGGGAAGGGAACACAGTGAGGAATTACTGGACCAAAGGATAACCCAAAACTTGGTATCTTTATATTTGATCTCAAATGAAAATGCTCTTCAGATCTCCAATTCTTTTCTGGTTTTTGTTTGTTTGTTTGTTTTGTTTTGTTTTGTTTACTGCAACTCCCTGTTATCAGCTTTCCTCAGCAGGTTTTCCACAACTCTGGCATCTCCAAAATCTTAGGTTCTCTAAGGCAATCGAGGCTTCAACTTCAAAACCTCACACAATGACCTTTCTAGGCCTCCTTGCAGAGACACACCTGGTGTCAGTGGCTTTCCTTAGCCTCAGAGGTAAATTCCATAACTTCTTTCTTTTATCCTTAATTCTAAATTCAGAACCATGAGACCAAAGCTGCTAACTTCTCCTGCTTATTGGGGCTGAAATGTCTTCACCAGCTTTCTTTGTTAGATGGTTTCTTTCACTGCCTAAGCTTGGCTGTCCTGGAACTCACTCTGTGTACCAGTCTGGCCTCAAACTCAGAGATCCTTCAGCTTCTGCCTTCTGAGTTCTGAAACTAAAAGTGTACACCAACACACTTAGCCCTAAGATTTTTGTAATTCCTTTTCACAAGTTATAAGGTTAGCTGGGTAGGGTCTTACTCCTTTGATTCCATTTCTTAATCTGTTTATCTCTTTGAACACAGGATTTAGCTCTATCAAGTTTCTTGTGCCTCCTTTCTTGTTGAATTGTACATTTTGTATTTTTCCTTTCTCAGCTTGCTCCTTTTCATTATGGATCTGTATAATAGTGACCACTAATAACCACACAATAGAGTCAGTACTAGGATGTTATGAGATTTCCTCTCCCAACATAATTAATCCAAAACCCCTCAATTTAGCCCCCAAACTCCTCCAAACAGAAACATGATCAGGTCTATTACAGAAATACCCAGTCCCTGGTACCAACATCGGCCTTAGTTACGGTTTTATTGATGTGAAGAAACAACGGCCATACATAGCAATTCCTATAAAGGAAAAGATTTAATTGAGGCTGGCTTACATTTTCAGAGGCTTAGTTCATTATCAGCATGGAGAGAAGCATGGTATCATGAAGGCAACCATGGTGCTAGAGAAGGAACTGTGACTGTTTACCACACTGGGCATAACTTGAGCATATCAGCAGCCCTCAAAGCCCACCCCCACAGTGACACACCCCCTCCAATAAAGCCACACCTGCTCCAACAATAACAAACCTCTTAATAGTGCCACTCCCTATGGGTCAAGCATTCAAACACATCAGTCTATGCTGGCCATTTATACTCAGGGATATCACAAAGACCCTTAAAACAATAAAGGCTATTGTTGTTACTCTCAGTTGACCTCCAGCACTTGGTATAAGATCCTCTTGCTGAAGACATGACAAACTTTCATCATTGTACCAGAAAAAAATGAAACTGGTATCAATCAAGAAAATTATTCCCTGATAGTTACCTCGCACAGAACCAAATGTTGCTATATAGTCTACAGGAAGAGAAATGCCATCAATAGTCTACCTTGCTATGAACTCTTGCAAATTCAATAACAACTGGCTTGAAAAGATATGCCCATGGGTGCAATAGTGGCACATGTGTTCTGGTGATAACTAAGAACTTTCTGATTTTATTTATGGCCCACTATGCAGGAAAACACACACTCACAAACACCTGGTACTCTAAATTGAGCAAGAACCAATCATGTGGCAACTCACTGGCTCTAGGCATGAATCCACTATTTTGTTTAATGGACATAATAATCAAACTGCTCTCTGAAGTCCTATATTCTTCCCCATAGCTTAATGCATCTCCCAATCATACCACAAAATTTCCTTTGTGAAGTGGATAGAGGTTTATCTGGACAGTCACAATTGGTCAAAGGTCAAAAAATTCATGTCAGTGGAATGCTTAGCCACAAGTGAAGGTCTGTATCACTCACTCTCCCTGTAAGGATCAGGCAGTGTCATGAAAGAAGGAAAGGAAGAATGTGAAAGCCAGAGGTTGGGGAGCACTGGGCAAAACAGTGTCTCCTGGACACAACAGGATAGATTTACTGTGAGCTCACAGCAGCTGAGGTTGTCACATAAGAGCTTCAGGACATCAAGCCAGTCAGCATTCCAGCTTGCAGGGGCTCAGAAACCCCCACCCCAGCCCAGGAACTATTGACGGTTGATGGCTGTTAAGGGAGGGAGAGTTGGTTTCTTTAGGAAGATAGTACATAGTAGATGAACCTGTTTCAATGGATGGCTCTACACCCATGCATATTTAGATTCATTGGAGGTTAGAGGACACATGGAGTTGAAAGTGTGAAGGAGGAAATAATGGGAGAGGTGGGGAGCAAATATGGTAAAAACACATTGTGTGCATATATGAAGTTCTCAATGAATTGATAAAAACATTAGATTTCAATTTTATTCAGGATTTGTAGCCCTATACTGAATAGAATAAACAAGAAAAAGCCTATGTAAAGTCATGCATTTCTCTTATTTTCAAAGTACCATAAATTAAAAGAATATACCTTTTTTTTTACAAAAAAAATAAAATCTGGGTATGCTGACATCATTGTAATTCCAGTATTGGGGAGGCAAGGATGGGTATTTTGGGGAATCAACAGCCAATATGCCTAGACTACTCATGAAACCCCAGGTTCCAGTGAGAGATCCTATTTCAAAAAATAAGGCAAATGTCCATCAGGGGGACACCCAAAGTTGACCTCTGACCTCCACATGCATACATACCCACCTGTGTGTATGAGTACATGCATGCTGTGCACACACACATTCACTTACACAAATGTCATCACAAGCGATAACATAATGATACATCATTTTAATGATGCTGAAAATTCTGGATGCCCTCTCTTTCTCTGCCATATAATTATTAATGGTGTTTTCTTTTAATAATTTGTTTGCTATTTCAGTAATTAATATCACTCAAATAGCGTTCCTATATCATACTCTCCAAACCCCTCCCACAATAAAATGGATCTTCTATTAAGTTCCAAAAACATAGTAACTTACTGTATCACTTAATTGGAAAGTTAGATTCAATCTTATTTGTTACTGTTTTGTTTTGAGCTTTATTTTAACTGCAATAAAATATAAATGGAATTCTTATAAACATGAACATAATTCTCTATTGGAAACATCAGGTTTTCTTCAGAATGAGATATTGTCATTGAAGCAGAACTCTATCGGACACGTGATGACTGGCTTCCTGATGACTGGCTTATGAGTAAGCCAGCAGAGCAAACAGCTGCATCGCTCACTTGCAATAAACGGAAACAAATAATTTCTAGACTAAGCTTTTAGAAATTACACCTTTAATAAAGAACACATGAAATATATGAAGTTGAGAAACAAACAACTTCTTTTTTTAAAAAAGAATAATCGTATGATTCGGAATCAATATGAGAAGAAATAGACTGTAGCAAATCAATATTTAAGTCATTGGCTATCCTGAGTCAGAACTTTACGGAGTCCTTCTGGACATAAGGCCAACATTTTTCTCTGATGAATCTGGGGTGGATTCAGACCCATCTTTCGATATAGACCTTGCTAGAAGCTGCTATTTCTAGGCAATAAGGACCATCTGTGAGGACCAGACATTTGGTTGGTAAGGTTTGGAAATGAAATATCCTTGACAGAATTGTGTTTGGAAAGTTTAAACACTGCTTTTGGTGCTGCTTGGGGGGGGGTTAGAGGTTTGGGGAAATGGTGTAACTAGAGGAGGCAGGTCAGTAAGCAGGTGCCTTTGAAGGTTGTGCTGGGTCCTGAATCTGCTTTAGGCTCTTGGCTTCTCTGGATGCAGTGAGCAGTTCTCCTTCATTTCTCCAGCTGCCAGGGTTCTCTGCTTCCAGGGCAGTGGTTCTCACCCTTCCTAATGCTGAAACTCTTTAATACAGTTCCTCATATGGTGCTGACTCCCAGCCATAAAATTGCTTTTGTTGTTACTTAATAACTGTAAGTTTGCTCTTGTTGTTAATCATAATGTAAGTATCTGTGTTTTCTGATGGTCTCAGGTGGCCCCTGTTCCAAGGTTGTTCGACCTTAAGCAGTTTTGATCCACAGGTTGGGACCACTGCTCTAGAACATAGGCTGGATTAACTATGAGTAGAGGGAACCCTTACCCCTTTGAAGTAATTCTGTCAGGTGTGTCAGGACTCCAAGGCAATGAAATTGACTGTCTTGGAATGAAAATATACAGTTTCATTTTGGCCACAATTTCTGGGCCATTGCTGTCAGAGAACTTCTGAGCCTTATTTATGTTATTTCCATGACTTTAGTAAAACTTGAACTGATTGTATTCACATTGGTGGAGTGGGGAGTCCTTGTTCCTAGATTGGAGCAGCATTGACTACAATTATCAGTGGCTACTAGTTGGTACATATAGTGGGAAACTCATGAGGCCCATCAGAAGCAAGGTCAAGACAGCAAAAGTTAGAGAAGGGCCAGCCACAAAACATAGGTACACTGGCCTGTGAGAACTGTTTTGGGATAACTAGCAGCAAGACACGCACTCTACCACCATAATCACATTTTAAAGTCATAGGCAGTGGAGGCTGATAGGGATGCATAGATTAATATTATTAACTTAATACTATAACATACATTTCTCTCTATAAGACTGAATTGTCACTAAAAGTACCTGTCATATGTATCAAAACGTGTCATATATGAGATATTTCATATATGAATACGTAATGTGAATACCTATGAATATAAAGATTTCAGAGAAATATCTCATTCATTTTACATCATTATTGTGTTAGTCAGGGTTATCTAAAGGAAGAGAATTTATAAAATTAACACACATACACACACACACACACACACACACACACACACACACACACGGGGGTGGGGGATGGATATATTAGAATAGCTTACATTAATTCCAGATGTAGTCAAGTTGACAACAAAGAATGGTCATCACAACTACTTTTTTTATGACTATTACTATTTTCTTTTTTGAGGATTTAAGTTATGTTTTCCATTAGGGGATTTACCTGTGCATATCTTTACACATAAGTATTTTATACATGTTTGATAATTCTCTCAACCAGATCAGGATCATTACTCTGTGTAGTGGATGAGTTCCAAACATGCCTCTGAGACAGGAAATAGCAATATAGCCAGGAAGAAGAAATACAGTCAGGGTCAGGCTCTGTTGTGAAGCATATGGAGAGGGATAGTATTGACACAGCCCTTGTTATTTCTTTTTATTAGTTCCTATCTGCTGCATTCCTATGAATTCCTCTGAAAAGTCACCAAATCTCTTGACTTGAATTTTGCTTCTGTCAAACTTTGTTTTTGTGCCTGTGATTTCAACCTCCTTGAATGAATTGAAATGAAATAAGAGCAAGAACAATCACCACCCTCTTGACTACAATAGTTTGGACACTATTTAGTCAAAGGCTCACACTAAAATAACCAGTTTGTGCTGAGCACAGTGCCACTATTATTAGGTGGGTTGGCTGTTTGTGAACCACTTGGGTCCTAGTCATTTGTGGATACAAATAAGAAATGTGTTGTGTTTTATGCTGGGAGTCATAGCAAATGCTATGATTCATTATGGCCCTGTTAAGCAGCAAAATTGGGTATCAAAAGAAATGGGGTAAATACAATAATAATAAAAATCTGCTTTTGTATGTTGTGGTATCTGTTTGAGTCTATAAAAACGCCAAAGTGTGCTGGAAGATGTACAATCATAGGGTGTGTTAGAGCTATTCTTGATTAGTGTCCCTTCATTTGGCAGACAACATCACTTGGTCAAAGAGAAGAGGGAACCTGTAGCAAATGCTAATAAGACTTCAGTCCTCATCTCTCTAGTTCTTGATGTCATTCAGGTCATGTCTCTTCTTGTATATCATTCAAGTACTTGGGCTAATAAATTCATTTTTTCTTCTAGGCTATTCCTGTTACATTTTCCTTGCTTGTAGTGAGATTTTGACTGTGACAATTGAAGGGTCATGCTGCAGAGTGAATTTTAAAATCTAAGGGCCCTGGGCTAGAGATACAGATCAGTAGTTAAGACTACTTGATGCTTTCAGAGGACCTGGATTCAGCTACCAGCACCCACACAGTGGCTCAGAGGTATGTGTAACTCATGTTCCAGAGGATCTAATACTTCTTCTGACTTCTGACCACTAGCACCAGATACACATATGGTATCCATACATGTAGGTAAAATACTCAAAAATATAATATAAAGCAAATAAATCTTAAAAAATAAAATTATAGTGGCAAGTGAGATAGCTCAATGTTTAAAAACATTTATTGTCATCAACCCTGATGACCTGAATACAATCCTTGGGATGCACATGGGGGAGAACTGAGTTTTGTTGGTTGTACTCTGACTTGCCTGTGTCAATGGCAATTGTCACTCCCCCTCACCACACACAAATTGTGTGTGTGTGTGTGTGTGTGTGTGTGTGTGTGTGTGTGTGTGTATACACTCCATATATATATGGAGCCTTTTCTGCATATTTTCCTGGGTACTATCTAAAGAGTCTGTTTTCAAAATAATAAATGGGACCTAGAGAAGTAACCCAGCTGATAAGTAATGTGCTAGCTTCAGATCTAGCTTGCCCTTACATTGCCAAACCAAATATAGATCTTGATTGCACTCCCTGATTATTGGTTCTGGTCGTAGATGAGTGACATGAGGCAGCAGCCATTGCTGGTGTACCTACTTTATTGTTGGCAGTTCTTCCTCCTCTGGCTGGCACAATTTCCTGGACATTTAGAGAGCCAATACCTTTTCTCCTCTCACAGTTCCCTTTCTAAGAGACAGACACTGAAGACTAGAACATCAAAGCAACTATGTAATAAGGGGATAGTTAAAGATCATTGTGCATCCCCTGGAGAATGCACAGAATCAATAAGGCCCTGACAAGATCTTCTGGTCAAGGTACAGGTTGAACTTTAGCCAAGAGACAGCCTACCACAATAAAAAGCAAAAGCAATAAACAACAAAAAATCTGAGGGAGGAGAAAATAATATGCAGAGATATTAAATGCCCTTTTTATTCATTTAAAAGTCCAACTCATACAAAAATCAGGTCTGTATGATTTGGTCAAAGGAAAAAGAAGAGTCACTAATACAGACCCAATAGCAAGTCTATTAGACAAACTTTAAAACTATCCTCATAAACATGTTCAGAGAATGAAAGGAAGTATGGAAATGCAAGACAACAGCATACAAGCAAGATGTAAATGTCAATGAAAGAGATGGAAAAACAAAAAAAAAATTCTGGAGTTGAAAAGTATAATAAATGATGCAAAAAGCTTGTTAGAGGGATTTGAAAGTTAGAGAGATTTCTATAGTCAGAAGAAAGACTTTCCAAATTTAAGATTAGGACCACATTAATGTGTTGAAGAAAGTAAAAATGTTGAAAGAAAATGGACAGAGTAGAAACCCACCGATAAAGGACCTAGAGATAAATCAGACAGACATAAGAATTGTGGATGCTCCAGAAGGACAAAGTGAAAGTCTGAGAAATGTACTAATTTTACTGACTTAATAAACTACTCAAATGTAAGCATCCAGGAAGTTCAAGGAACTGCCACACAATCAACTTAAGAACCACAGACTCATTATAATCAAACTTTTGGAAGCAGCAAGTGAAAAAGAACTTACAAAGACATAGCAGCCTCAGTGGGGTTATCAGCAGAGTACGTGTCAGAAATGCTGCAGCTTAGAAAGTTCTAGATCATTCATGGAGACTACAAATAGAATGATTAAAAACCATGAATCAAGAAGGCAATAGCTGGCAAGATATTCTTTCAAAAGTCAAAGAAAACTTAAGATACTCCCAGGTAAACGAACTACAAACAATTTATAACTGGTAGCACAAAATGCTAAAGGAAATCAGGAAAATTTCAAATGCAAGAACACTAGAGTAACTGAAAGTTAGATTTGGATATGATTTATTACCTAGTGATGCTTTGTGTTTCCATTGTTCATTTGTTCTGGCACTTGAAATCAAATCAGGGACTGTACACATGCATACAGGGGAAGCATTCAATTATGAATAACCTATACCCACAGCCCCTGTGGCAATGCTGTGGTAGTAGGCTTTTAAGCCATCGGGTCAGGATGTCATGACTAGCCCCTCCTGTTCTTCAAACTTCTCAGTAAGCCTTTATGTCTTCCATACTATCACCATGGCCATCTACCATGATGTCCTCACTAGGGACAACCTGGTGTTGTCACCATGCCATAGTACCTAAAGAATAGGCGATAAGTAAATGTATGTTCATTTTAAAGCCATAATCCTAATGGACTATGAATAAATTGTATAATAACAATGAATTTTGATTCTCACAAAAATATTTTATTTTAGAGTAGTGGAAAATTGACCAGCACACATAGCAACTGTCTACCTCCAAAAAGTGCATTTATTTCCAGCTGTGGCCCTTTCTCCATGTTTGAAACTGTTCATTGAGGCCCCTTTTGATTAGGTGACATGGGATAAGCATAGACACAGCATGAAAACAGCAAGGAATGAGTATAAGAAATTTTTGCATTCTGTCTGTATAATAAATACCTAAAACAATCAGTTAATAAAGACTTCTACATCCTGCCACTATAACAAATAGCGAAAAGAATCAATTTATAAAGAGAAAGTTTTATTTGCCTCATGCTTTCATAAGTTTTAGTCCATAATCTTTTGTCCTTATTGCTCTGGGTCTGTGGATGAGCACATAATGGAGCAAAACTACACATTTCAAGATGTCAATTACTCAAATGCCTCCACCAGGCCCCATCTCTCAGCTTCTACTACCACACACTCCTTGAGGAGACCACAAATTCAACAGGTTATTAGAGTATATTCCAGATGCAGATTCAAGGTCTAGCAAAGCATTCCTAGCAAAGACAATAATGTGGCAGAACTTGGGGAGACCGTAATAGCCACACCTGTTGAATTGGAAGAAGGAAAAAGGAATAGATTTAGAATTGATGCATATATCTAGGAAAGTAAGCAAATAAAGGGAGCTTTGACTAGAGTGAGGGAGAAACATTAGATGATAAATAAAATGATGTGATGGCATAGAAGTTTGATCCCACAAAAATTACTGGAATTCTACAAAAATCCAATTGGCAAATTCATTAAAGTTCTAGTGAAATAGTTTCCATCAGAGTAAATACTTTTCACTAGATCCTATATATTTTTATTGTTCAAACATGATTCAGTCTTATAAAGAGTAACAATGCTTACATTACAAAATATTCTTAATATGTTTTAGACATATTACTGTAGTTACAGACACAGCCCAGAAATCCTGTCTTTATAAGTAATAGTAGCATTGAATTATGAAATTAAAATAACCAATAATAAGAGTATTAATTATTTTCTTTTATAATTAGGAAGGCTTCACAGCTGTCCAATATTCTGGATGGCAACCACTGTACTCTTTAACTTGGTATTCATGGATTAATTCTGTGAGGTTGTATCTCTGATATTTGTGTTTAAATGACAATGGAAAGTATTTGGGCTAATGATGAAAAATATTTTTTATAATTCTAATTATTGTTCACTGAAATAGGTTATGATATTATTATGTCATTTTCTCTCAAAGCCCAAAAGAAAGCATAGTATCCCATTGCACAGAGAATACATAAAAATGTTGACTTTTATTGGAGGCACATGGATGCCCAAATAACCACAAAATTCTTTCAAATCCAAAGATTCAAATCTTACACAGTTTGAAAAAGACTTTGAGCATGGCTGTTGTGGCACATAAAGGTGGATCTCTATGAGTTAGAGGACAGCCTGGTCTACAGAATGAGTTTTTGGACAGTCAAGGATACACAGAGAAATCCTGTCTCAAAAACAATAATAATAGATTATATGTACTAACCCTTTCTGTTTTGTCACCTCTAATAGGGGAGGTCCTTCTGTGTATATGTTTGTCTTATTGGTTGATAAATAAAGCACTATTGGCCAATATGGAAGCAAGTTAGGTGGGACTAGGAGAGAAGGAGGATTCTGGGAAATGTAGGAAATGGACAGTTGCCATGTGATCCCAGGAAGAGAGGACATATAAGGCCAGAGTCCTCAGTAAGGTAAGTCCTTATAAAAATATATAGATTAGTAGTTATGGTTGATAATTAAGACTGAGCTAGCAAATAAGAAATCCTAGTCACTGGCCAACAGCATTGTAACTAATATAAGACTCTGTGTGTTACATGGGGGCCCTAAAGTGGCGGCAGAACCCAGGCAGCTAGCAAAAAAATATCATTACATGCCTCTACTCAAAGCTATAGTCATGGTGGGAAGAAATGAAAAAACAAAAGGAAGAAGAATTGAAAGGATATTTCCTACTTAAAAAAGTGATCTAAACAGAATTATACAGAATCATGATTGTGACTAGTTCTTTCTTTTTTTGATTTATTGATGTTCTTAACCTCCTCCCCTTTATGTGTATGTGTATGTTGCCATGTGAGTTCAGGTGTCTGCAGAGGCCAGCTAAGGCCAGCAGATACACACTGAAGCTGAATTTTACAGGCAATCATGAATGTCTGATATGGGTGCTGGGAATTACACTGTAGTCCTCTGGGAAAGCAGAGGACTCTCTCAATCACTAAAGCCCCTCACCAGATCTACTCGGATTTCTTGAGCACAAATTACAAATAGGCTTCAACAGCTCTGCCCTGACACAGGCTCTCTACTAAAAAAAAAAAAGCCTTTATAATTATGTTACAGTTTTACATTGAATTAAATAACAAGGAAGAGATTTGTCATATGAGGAACAGGGGAACAAGGGAAAGAATTCTTTAGGTAAATGTCAATTTAAAAAAATCTCTCAGACTCAATTCCCAAGATCTTGTATAAGATACTTAACACAGATGATATTCTAAAAGCTTTAAATGTTTCCTAAACTGCTTTCACTAGAAATCTGTGTGTCCTTTTTAAATGGAGTGAGAAATTATTTTGGTAAAGATTATAAGGAATATGAGCTTGATAAAAGAAAACCTTTATCCTCTTTTTATTTTCACTCAGGACTCTGAGTAACTGTGGAAAGTCACTCTGAAAGCATCAGCTAAGTTATTTATTAATTTAGATGGGACAGGTAAGGCAAGTGTCCAGGTCCAATAATGCTACAAAAAGATCAGCTAAAGTGTGATTTGCTTTGAGACTTTAATATCAAGTTGGGCCATACAGTCAATATAAATGCAAAGGCTAAAATCAGAGGAAAAGGAATTTCTAAGGAAAATGACATCAGGTTCTCGGTGAAGTTACCAAATATTTTACAAAGTAGATACTGTAATCTTGAAAAGCAAACAAAAAGAAACAGAAAATAGAAGGCAGAGAAATGGGAAGAAAACAAAAAGGGATTTTATGATCTTCTTGGATCATTGAAGTTATCTGTACAAATACATCATTTATTTAGCAACTTTAATCTGCATTGTCATCTCAGCTAGCATGGTGGTGACAAACAAATGGCATGGAGACCTCAAGAACACCACACCATCACTGAGCCTGCCACTGTAGCAACACCACACATCTCTGCATGGTGCTCAGTGCTGGCCCTTGGTGCTTGCCATCCCCGTCCAAAGACACACAGCCAGCAACCATGTCTGGATGATGATGGAAGGATGGTGAAGAGCTGACAAGTAAATGCACACAGAAATACAAACACACTCACATCCAGATGACTCGGAGTCAGAAATAAGCCGTGTTGTTACAGCATGGTGTATTACTCTTGGTAGCATGAAGACAACAAACATCAAACAGACACTTTGAATACCCAAAGAAGTCAAAATGGAAATGACTTTCACATGGAAACTGTTCAAGCATAGTTTCCAAAGATTAATGCACTTGAAATTGATTTATTTAAAACCATTTCTAACTCCTGGATCCTGACATGCTTCGTTCTTGGTCATTAAGCGATGAACCCTTTTGATGTTCAACCACATAATCACATTAGTAAAACCCAAATGTACAGCAAAGAATTGTATTAAAAAGTGTAACTGTCAAAAGAAGATGGAAATTAAAAGCTTTTCTGCCCAATCATGGAAAATTGTATTCTCAGTAATTTTCTGAGCTAAAATGCCTGAAACCACAATCTTTCTACCAGCTTTTAAAAGTGAAGCAAACAGCATTATATTAGCACCAGCTGCTGATAGGGGCCTGATTGTTGAGTAAGACAAATTGGTTTGTGAATAAAGACAACTCCATTCTGTTCCATGGGATATTATCTCAGAATAGTAGCAGTGGCCAAGGTAGAGTCGGGCCAGGCTAGGCATCATTAATTGTGAGTTCCTTCTTGTGTAACTTGTTGGAAAAGTCACACAAAGCTTTTTGCAGGGCTCTTGGTTTTTACTTAAACATGCATGCTTGTATGTATAGTGTGAGAAATAAACCAGCAACAAGTCCTGTGCCCCATGTAACAGCATGTACTCATCACTCTCTTGTCTAATTTACTCTTCAGAAGGTGCCTAATTTCTCTTTCTATTTCTAAAAGAATACCCTTCAAATCATGCTAAGTTAGGCCACATGAAACTTTGATTCCCGACTTTTTTCTGTGAAGACAGGGTTTCTCTGTGTAGTCTGGCCCACAACTCATTCTGTAGACAAGGCTGGCCTCAAACTCAGTGATCTGCATGCCTCTGCCTCCTTAGTGCTGGTGATAAAGGTATGCCCCACTGAAGAAAGAATAATACCAGATGGGAATTTTCACTCCAATAACAGGATAGTAATGAACACAGCACATTATTAACTTTTGAAAAGGAAGAGGAAGCTGGAGAGATGGCTCAGCAGATAAGCGATTAGAGCACTTACTGCTCTATCAGAGGACCAGAGTTCAGATCCTAGCACCTACATTTAAAGGCTCCTAAAAACTTGTAACTCTAGCTGCAAGAGACTCAATGGCCTTTTCTGGTATTGGTGGGTACACACACATACATGGACACAAATTAAACACTAAAATACATTTTTTAACAGGAAGACAATGAAGCCAAGTTATTGTCAGAGAAAATGGAGAGACTCAAGAGTACTTATTGGGTGTAATAAAAAAAAAAAAACTCACATTGTCTTGTGTAAATTGGGACATGACTTCAAAATAGATTTTGAGACAATTGACTTAAAATAATTGACTAAATGCATAAATATTGACTAAATTATACATCCAAATTCCCCAGGTATAGTCACTGATACAGCCCCAAAAACCTTTATTTTAGACTTGATTTTATGAATAATTTTCATTATATGACTTTCAATATGTGCTCTTGCCTGTATCTCTGATTCCATTTCTGTTAAGAAGAAGTGTTCAAAATAGATGTGAAGATCTTACCAACATAAATGTCTACATTTGGATTTCCTCTCTGCACTATTGATATATTCTTTACTACAACATACTTAGGACATGGTCTAGCATTAGTGACACAAAGTAAAATTCAGCCTGTGTTTGTGGATATGTATGTACATTTTTGTTTCTGATGCTGATCTATTATTACATGTAGCTCTAAGATAATCTTAGAGTTAACTGAAAACTAAATGAAACAGACCGTTTGTTCTTATGGCTTAAAATATTCCCATGATCCAAAGTATTCTACACCCCAATAAAGAAACTCACAGCCTTTGGGGAGCCACTCGAGTTATCTAAAGCTGCCCAAATGTGTCTGCTATCAGAATGATCAGGAAGTCAGAGGAATTTCTCAACACTACCCTATAATGTTTCCATGTTTGACTGATTGTATAACACGGTTTTCCAAGTGATCTCCCTAGATCATTCATTAGAACTGGCTTAGATTAGACACCTTTCATCAGTACAGTATAACTAACTATAAAACATGCATTCTGGGCATGGCCCTGGTGATATTAAAAAGCTGCCTGTTTCCAAAGCAGACTGTCATAGGCTAGTTCACATAGCCAGCTTCCTAGAACTAATGTACACCTCTCTTATGATAGCCACACCATCTGTCTTCATCCTGATTTCCATGTATTATCAATGTGTGCTTCAAAGCCTAACACTTTTGACTTCTCTGTATCTTGTCTTCAGAATGACCATGACGAAAAGGGTCCCAAAGAGGGTAAGTTTTTCCATACCTGAATTCCAGAAATTGCATCTCCCTACATAGCTGAATTTGTTCATATTATGGTCATAGTACACTATTACTATTTGTGGTTGTTTGAAAGAAAATGGCCCCCATAGGGAGTGGCATGAATTAGGGGGTATAGGTTTGTTGGAGTAAGAGTAGTCTTGCTGGAGGAAGTGGGTCCCTATGGGGATGGGTTTTGAGGTCTCATATATGCTAAAGCCATGCCCAAGGTAGCACACAGTTGCTTCTGCTGCCTGAGGATCAAAATGTAGAACTCTCAGCCATCTTTCCAGCAATATCTCTGCCTGCATGCTGCCTTGCTTCCTGCCATAATGATAAGGAACTAAACCTCTGAAACTGTAACCCAGCTCCAATGAAATGCTTTCCTTTATAATAGTTGCAGTGGTCATGATGTCTCTTTACAGCAATAGAAACCCTAAGACATTATTTAATTGTATTTTGAGCCAACTAAAGCATGTGGACTTAGTTTTGTTACTCATCATGGCCTTTTCTACTTCTGTCAAACCAAATGACTTTATTTATAGTAATCAAGTATGTGAATCAAGTATAATTATATGGTTTTTCAAATGAGTCAGCAAATATAAATAAAAATTAAACTTCATTCAAATCAAATATTAATAGATATTCTGAAAATGCAGAATATTTTAGTAAGAAATAGTTCAGTAAGTGAAGAATGCTAAATCACCATTTTGTTTAGTTTGAGATAATAATAGAGAAATTATATGTTGGTCATTAATTTAATTACCACTGAGTACCTCCATCTTTAGCACTTGAAACGACTACTTAATAATATCAAGAAAATAATAAAAATGATAGCACAAAAGTAGAAAAGCCATTAAGCTATATTAAAATATTTTTAAATGAGTATTTTAATTTCTTAATCAAATCTAAATTAGTTTTGGAAGGATGTACAAATAAAAGTTAATGATTTTAGGAATATTTTATAATGGGAATGATATCCAAGAAAATCTCAGCTCTGTGTTTTTCCTCTTCATACTAAAGATATTCTGATGTTGTCTTCTGCCTCACTCATTCAGCAAGCAGTTATTAAATGACTGAATTTTCTCCACAATCACACAGTCATTTTATTTCAAAACCTTTCAGCAGTAAAACTGTGTTACAAATCAAGCTACAAAATAATAAGTAAATAAATACATAAATAAAATTGGTAGTCAATCCCTAAAACCAATCTAATTCAACTCTGAAAATGTCTAAAGAAACAAGAATTCAAGGAACAAGTAAGATACCTTGTGATCTGATTTCAAGAAGGATCCACATGGTGGAAAAAGAGAAATGAGTCCTGCAAGCTGTCTTTTGATCTCCATCATTCCTTGTGGCAAGTTCATGTATGCACACATTCACACAAGCACATACAAGCATTCACATGAACAATGCATATGCTAATTTTTAAAGAATCCAAGGAATATAGTTTATAAATCTTTCAGGAAACACTTAACAAGAAAAAATTAGCATTAGCACCATTCCATACGTTATTCATCTGTCCATTCATGAAATACATTTAAATGCATGCTCTAAGTGGAGCCTTATTCTAGATGTGAAGAGAGAGCAGTAAGCACAACAGACTCCTTGCAAAGATAGAATTTAGACTGCAGGGAATGGAACAGGCAAAAGAGAAAGCAAAAGTGACTGATGTGTCAAACAATGGTAGGTGTGATGAAGACAACTTAAAAGGCCAAAAGGAAAACTGCTAAAGGGGCGAGGAAATGTACTTTAGGGTCAGGTACCAAATGGCCTTTGAGTAGCTGCTTTTCTGGAGGAAGAGAGAAGAACCATTTGGACTTCAGTGACAATAGTAGTCCAGGTCATAGCAAGAGTAAAGGCTCTAAGGCAAGAGCTTCGGTACTAAGCCAAGCAAGACTGAATAAGGATTGCACAATAGGCTACAGAAGGTCAGAATTGACCTAGGGTTGATCTGAAAGAAGGCTAAAGTCATCCTTACTTTGTAAACTCTCCCCATGTAAAGTTGAAGTTGAATATATTTAGAAAACAGTTTCAAGTTATGCAATGTATAATGGGAGGCTACTGGAATGTTGCCAGTAGAAAGGAGGCACAGTTTGATGTGTGTATTACTGTCCCAAGTCATTGGAGTTAATATGAGTTAAAGTTAAAGTTCCAAAAATCCAAATTTTGTATATATATATATATATATATATATATATATATATATATAAGTTAGGATAAGGAGAAGAATATTTGGTCAAAGACAAAACCATTGAGCTAAATTAAGGGTTCAAATTAAAACTCTGAAATTAAAGTTCTGAAAATATTAATATCCAAATTAGCACAATTCAATTGTTATACATGAAGGGGGCGAACAATACGGAGGGGCATAGCAGGGTACAAGTGATTTAAAGTGGGGAAATGGAAAAAGTATGGGATTCTAATTAAGGAGAGGGAAGCTAAACAAACTCAAAGGAAGGGTGAAGCATAAAATAACAGCAAGGATTGTGAAAAGGTTATAAAGAAATGCAACATGAACTATCTAATTGAAAACAACTAAAATGATGTAAATAAGTGTATAAATATATACATATAGTTCAAGTGGAATTTTCCCAACTAGGATAGTGCCCACCTTGACCATGAGTCACAAATTACATAACTAACCCCCCAACTTTAGTCACGAGAAATTCTTCTTTGAGGTGCGGAGTTGTTTAAGAGACTCGAAAAACATTATGGGCTATTGCCCTTGGTTGCCCCCAGATGTGGAAGGTAAGCCCTACTGATAAAGACACCATGTACTCTAGAAAGCAAGCCCAGAGGAACTGAGCTGTATCTGAACTGAAACTCTCTTCCTTGAGGACTAGCTTTCATGGTATCAGAAGGCATTATGTAAGCCTCCAGAGGAGGGGAAATACCAACAACAGTCTGACCTAAGCTATGATACTTATGTCCCTCAGCAATGACTACCATGGTACAATAACCTTAAGTGTGCAGTAGTGGCACACTACCATCATGGTCCCAAAGCTCTCTAATTTGACTTAAGAGTCATTCAACATGAGAAAGACCATGCCTGATATTGGAAACATAACACCTATCCAGGGCT